CACCTTTGGGCGCCCCCCGCCCCGAACATTAAGGACATCACGACTATTCCCCAGAAAAATCTTCCTCTGTGTCGTTTTTCCCGTAAATTTGGGGGAAAAACAAATTTTCTGCACATTAATTCCCTGCTAAAACGGGGGTTTTTATTATGGGGGGGAAAATACTACATAGGGCCCCACTAGAGGGAGAAGAGGAGAAAAGGGAAAATTTAAAAGAGGTCATTGTAACATTTTCCAGAAAAAACCCCCGAAAATAAAGGTGCAGTTTTTACTCTGGACCCCCAAGGGGTCAGGTGTCATTGTTCGGGATCCCCAAGTGTCGGGGGTGTCTTTGGGTTCGGGGGCCCCCAAAGGGGCCCAGGGTGTCATTGTTTTTGGGGCCCCCCAAGTGTCAGGGGCCCATTTTTCCCTGGGACCCCCAATGTCGGGGTGTAAATTGTTCGGGTTTCCCCAATTTCCCAGGGTTCATTTTTCTGGACCCCTAAGTGCCCAGGGCGTCATTGTTCTGGGCCCCAATGTCAGGGGGGTCATTGTTCTGGATCCCTAAGTTCAGGGTGGCCCATTTTTCCCTGGATCCCCAATGCCCAGGGTTCTTTTTTCCCCCTGGATCCCTAAGTGTCAGGGTGTCATTGTTCTGGATCCTACAAGAATGTCAGGGGTGTTCATTGTTCTGGTCACCCAAGTGTTAGGGGTGTCATTGTTCTGTGACTGCCCCTCAAGTGTCAGGGTGTCATTGTTCTGGACCCCCTCAAGTGTCAGGGTGTTCATTGTTTCTGGACCCCCCATAGTTTCAGGGTGTCATTGTTACGGGATCCCCAAGTGTCAGGGGAGTCATTGTTCTGGGACTTTCGCAAGCGTCAGGGTAATCATTGTTCCTGGGGGACCCCCCTGGTTGTCAGTGGTGTCATTGTTTCTGGGACCTCAAGTGTCAGGGTACTCCTTTTTTCCTGGCCCCCTATGTCGTCATGAGGCTGTCATTGTTACTGGGGACCCACAATGGTATGGAGTATCATTATTCTGGACCCCAACGTGTAAGTGTGTCATTGTTCTGGGGTCCCCAAGTTCAGGTGTTCATTGTTCTGTGACCACCACATACGTGTCTCAGGGTGTTATTCTTCTGGGACCCCCAAGTGTCAGGGTGTCATTGGTCTGGGGTCCCCAAGTGTCAGGGTTGTCATGATTCTGTGACCCCCAACGTCGTCAGGGTGTCATTGTTCTTGTGAACACCCAAGTGTCAGGGTGTCATTCTTCTGGGAGCCCCAAGTGTCAAGGGTGTCAGTGTTATTCTGGGGTCTCCAAGTGTTCAGAGGTGTCATTGTTCTGGGTCCCCCATGATTGTCAGGGTGGTCATTGTTCTGGATACCTCAAGTGTCAGTGTGTCAATGATCTGGACCCCCCAAGTGTCAGTGGGTCAGTGTGCTGGGACCACCCAAGTGTCAGGGTGTTCATTGGATCTGGACCCCCAAGTGCCAGGGTGTTATTGTTCTGGACCCCAAGGTGCAGAGTGTCATTGTTCTTGGCATAACCCCCAAGTGTTCAGAGTGCCAATGTTCCATGTGGAGACCCACACGTGTCAGGCGTTGTCAGTGTTCTGGGGTCTCCAAGTGTTCAGGGTGTCATTGTTCTGGACCCCTTTACCATTTGCTCGGTGGGTCTGCTGACACCTCACAGTCAGGGGGCGGGGGCGCATGACTCACCTCATGTTCCCAGTTTTCCATGTTGAGGACTGAGGGCAATCTTGTGTCTGGGAAGAAAGGTACTGCAGGGAAAAGTTGGGAAAAAAATTTTTTTGGGCTTGAACTCCATCTACTGATCTCATCTTGAAGGAAACAAATGGAGGAAGAGTGTTTGGAGATCTTGAGTTTTTGGGTGGGGATCAATGTGTGCGGGGATCATGTGTGCGCGAGTGATCATGTGGCGGGGATCATGTGGCGGGGGATCATTGTGGGGCGAGGTGGGCGTGGATACATGTGGGCGGGGATCCTGGAAAACACTAATCATATTGATATTTGAAGGTCTATAATAATATAATTTAAAAACATCACATAAAAAATAACGAGAGAATTAAAACTGACGCGGGTGAGGGCGTGCTTAATTTAACACACGTATGTAGCAAAGTTTTCTTGGGGATGAGGGATGTCGGTTGGCGACCCTGTGAGGGTTCTCCGAACCTCCTCAATCTTCGGTGTCACCAGGACTATAATCCCTCCTATGGTTTGTAACAATCCAAGTCCAGGAAAGAAACTGCATGAGCTTGTAGATTCCCGGCTATACCGCGCCTGAGCACCAGCCGTATTCCCCAGCTGGTGATTCCCACAAACGGAGAAGGTCGTTGTTTGGGGTATCCCGACACAACAAACCTAAGGGGATCCGCCGCTGTCACCCCTAATAAAGCAACCAGAAAAAGAGATTAATTTGAGTACAACTGAGGGGGGGGGGGGGGAGGGGGGTGGGGGGGGTGGGGTCTGCAACTGACATCCGACCTAGGAAAAAAACGGTGGATGTTTCCTTGTGGTCCTGTCTGGGGCGTGGCTAAATACGGATGGACTTTTCAGCTACAGAGCTGTAAGGTGTGGCCAGGGGCGACTGGACTTGGGCCATTGTAGAAACTCGGGTCAGTAGGGGGCGGCCCCGTCAGATGCCCCTGTACCTTTTTCATAGGCTTTTTTGAGTTTTGGGTTGGGCAAGGACACAGGGGCCCATGATCCCCTATTGTTCGTGGCTAGAGACAGAATGACCTTTTAGCTAAAACCTTGTGGGTCTAGTTATAGTGCAGGTTTTTAGTTCTTCTGGGGTGTGGCTAAATACTGACTGACCTTTCAGTTAAAACTGTGGGTGTGGTCTAAATGTTGGTGTGTGGTCTTATAGGTGTGTCGAAAATGTTCATGTGAGGTTCTTCTGTGGCCCAGTAAAACCAGATCTTTCATTTAAATAACTGTAGGTGTGGCCAAAAATCTGTGTACGGTTCTTCTGGGTTGTGGCCAATTACTGAAGGACCTTTTTCTGGGGCGTGGCTAAATACTACACCCTTTCTGGTATAGCAAAAAAGTGAATGTGTGGTTGTTCTAGTGCTTTTTACAACCCTTTCTGGTATAGCTCTGTAGGCGTGGCTAAAAAGTGAATGTGTGGTTCTTCTAGGGCGTGGTCTAAATACACACCCTTTCTGGTATAGCTCTGTAGGCGTGGCTAAAAAGTGAATGTGTGGTTCTTCTAGGGGCGTGGCTAAATACTTACAACCCTTTCTTCTATAGCTCTGTATGGCTAAAAAGTGAACGTCTGTTCTTCTAGGCGTGGCTAAAAAGTGAATTTCGTGGTATATCTCTTTAGGCGTGGGGTGTGGTTCGTGGCTAAATACTGTACAACCCTTTCAGGTATAGCTCTGTAGGCGTGGCTAAAAAGTGAATGTGTGGTTCTTCTAGGGCGTGGATAAATACTAGGTATAGCTCTGTAGGCGTGGCTAAATACTTGCATGCCCTTTCTGGCTAAATACTTACAACCCTCTCTGTAGGCGTGGCTAAAAAGTGAAATGTGTGTGCTTACTTCTGGTATAGTAGGCGTGGCTAAATACTTACAAATTCTTACAATTCAGGTAAAGCACTGTAGGCGTGGCTAAAAAAGTGAACGTGTGGTTCTTCTAGGGTGTGGCTAAATACTTGCAACCCTTTCTGGTATATCTCTGTAGGCGTGGCTAAAAAGTAAACGTGTGGTTCTTCTAGGGCGTGGCTAAATACTTACAACCCTTTCTGGTATGGCTCTGTAGGCGTGGCTAAAAAAGTGAATGTGTGGTTCTTCTAGGGCGTGGCTAAATACTTACAACCCTTTCAGGTAAAGCACTGTAGGCGTGGCTAAAAAGTGAATGTGTGGTTCTTCTAGGGCGTGGCTAAATACTTACAACCCTTTCTGGTATGGCTCTGTAGGCGTGGCTAAAAAGTGAATGTGTGGTTCTTCTAGGGCGTGGCTAAATAGACAACCCTTTCAGGTGCACTGTAGGCGTGGCTAAAAAGTGAATGTGTGGTTCTTCTAGGGCGTGGCTAAATACTTACAACCCTTTCAGGTAAAGCACTGTAGCGTGGCTAAAAAGTGAATGTGTGGTTCTTCTAGGGCGTGGCTAAATACTTTACAACCCTTTCAGCTATAGCTCTCTAGGCGTGGCTAAAATGTGGCGTGTCCGATTCCTTGATCAGAAAATAACGATGACGCCCCATACCTGGCAGCTATCGATCCCTCCTCTCTCGTATCCGGCACACAGATTGTACTTCCCGACAGCGCCGTTGTACCAGCTGCTACTGTTGCACTTCTTCACGTCAATGAGGTGCACCTGAGCCTCCTGGAGGATGTCCACCGGAACGCCCGCTGCGAGGAAGAAAATGCCAAGCCACTGATTGGTCGTTATCTCAGATCTTCAACCACAAACCTCAATCAATGAAGCCGCCTCCACACGTTCCAACCTGATTGTACGATCTCTATGCAACGTGAACCCAGATTGTACAATGAGATTGTACCGTGTGATGTCACACTTACAATCCTCGCTGGTGGCGCCCCATCCGGCGATGTAACATTCGGTCAGATGTTCGGTGATGGTGTCTCTGCGGGGGAGGCAGGCCGGCTGAATGTAGTCGCTGTGCTTGACGGCGCGGTCCAGGAGCAGGAGGGCGATGTCGTTTTGTTCGGTCTGCGGGTTGTATCCTTTGTGTTCGATCTTCCTGGCGATCCGTCTGACCTCGGTTTCCGGTCCTAGGTCGGAGAGTTGGCGGGCCCCCAGCACCAGCCGCCATTGGAGGTAGTCGCTGGGGAGATGCCGGGAGGCGGGGATTAACAATCGCATCTGAAGGGTCACATTGTATCTTTCCTCAAAAAAAAAAGAGAAATATTCGCTCACCTGCCGACTCCTTTGAAGCAGTGGGCGGCGGTCAGGACCCACCATTGGTTGACGAGGAAGCCGCCGCACGTGTGGCCGAAATCTTGTCCTTCGTAGTCCAGGGGTTGTTGTAAGCTCACCAGCCAAGGCCAAGATCCGGGCAAAGCGTCATGGCCGCCGACGATGCGGGAGCCGGCCGCGCTGAAGGGGTTGTCCATCATGGGGCGCAGGCCGCAGGTGGGTGCCGGAGCTGCAGGTAAAAGGTTGGAGGCGCACCGGTGACACATTGTATTACCGATACAGGTGACCCCAGATCAACCGCCCATCCCCCCCACCCTGAACCGATCACCCCTCCAAGATCACCCAGAACCCACCACCGGGCTTTTACCTGACTGAACGCACCCTGAACAACCTCTAACCGCAACCTCGTGCGTCTACCACAATATGGCCAACTTGAATGGCTACAACAACATGGCGTCGTGTGCGGCCATATTGGGTGAGAGACCGCCCATCCCCCCACCCTGAACCGATCAACCCTCCCCTCCAAGATCACCCAGAACCCACCACCGGCTTTTACCTGACTGAACCCACCCTGAACAACCTCGTGCGTCTACCACAATATGGCCGACTTGAAGGGCTACAACAACATGGCACCGTGTGCGGCCATATTGGGTAAGAATGCCCATCCCCCCACCCTGAGCCGATCACCCCTCCCGTCCCAAGATCACCCAGAACCCACCACCGGGCTTTTACCTGACTGAACCCACCCTGAACAACCTCTAACCGCAACCTCGTGCGTCTACCACAATATGGCCGACTTGAATGGCTACAACAACATGGCGTCGTGTGTGCGGCCATATTGGGTGAGACCGCCCATCCCCCCACCCTGAACCGATCAACCCTCCCCTCCAAGATCACCCAGAACCCACCACCGGGCTTTTTACCTGACTGAACCCACCCCCTGAACAAACCTCGTGCGTCTACCACAATATGGCCGACTTGAAGGGCTACAACAACATGGCACCATGTGCGGCCATATTGGGTAAGAATGCCCATCCCCCCACCCTGAGCCGATCACCCCTCCCCTCCAAGATCACCCAGAACCCACCACCGGGCTTTTACCTGACTGAACCCACCCTGAACAACCTCTAAACCGCAACCTCGTGCGTCTACCACAATATGGCCGACTTGAATGGCTACAACAACATGGCGTCGTGTGCGGCCATATTGGGTGAGACTGCCCATCCCCCCACCCTGAACCGATCACCCCTCCAAGATCACCCAGAACCCACCACCGGGATTTTACGTGACTGAACCCACCCTGAACAACCTCGTGCGTCTACCACAATATGGCCGACTTGAAGGGCTACAACAACATGGCACCGTGTGCGGCCATATTGGGTAAGAATGCCATTCCCCCACCCTGAGCCGA